GATAAATTCCAGGTGGATTTAAAAACCTAAATATAAAAGGCAAAACTATAGAACCTGTAAAGGATAATAAAGGAGAGTATACTTTTAACCTTGGGTTAAGAGAGATTTATAAAAATATAAACAGTAACCATAAGTAAAAAGATAAATTTGGCTATAATAAATAAATTTCTATTCACCAAAAGATAACAAAGAGAATGAAAAGACTAAATTTCATTACTATATCTCCCCTCCTTTGTTCTTGTTATATGCCTCTTTAGAAAAATCCCTTTATTTTAATTTTAGTGGGATTTCCAGAGGAAACAAAAGTAAAAAAATCTGGAAGATCTGCTACTCAAAGTCATAGTACTAAAAACTTTTTTAATGAGAAAAAGATCCAGCAATGTTTGTGCTTAATTATAGTTTATCTAACATATATAAAAAAATAAAAGCATAGCCAGCAAAGGAAGAAATATTTTCCCAGGTACTTCCTCAAATTATCTCAGAAACTATCCAATCATAGTGCTCCCACACCAAGGGAAGCAGTTAACCCCTACACCTCCAAACACGCTTCCTTTTTTGGGGAATCTGATGCATCCCTGTCTAGAAATTCTCTTGGGATTATCTGTACTTAACCTATCTCCCCCAAAAGGAAAATTATTTTCTACTGGTACTTGACTCTTACTTATAAAATCAGGTTTGGAAGTAGAACAAAAAATTCAGAAACAAGGAGAAGGTTTGGGGCCAAGATAATTTAGGAAACCCTGGATGGTGCCAGAAAGTGGAACAGCCTTGACAAAACCAAGACCAAGAAATTAGCATAAATAAAGGTTTTATTGGTCAGTCTGGGCGAATGACATACTGACATACCCCCAATTCACTGTTCCACACACCAAGGCCCTGAGGTGGCAGGAGGAGAAGCTAAGCCGATTGATGGTGAGAAAAGGGTGGGAGGTGGGAAGAACCTGAAGGCCTCTGAGGGTTAACAAGGCTACCGGGACCGGGACCAACGGCCTAGGAATAAATCCAGGATGGAAAAGGCATCATCCAGGGCTGGAGGTGTTGGTGATTCTGGATCTAAGGAAGAAAGTGATACATATACACACACTAAATGAAAGAGACTGGGCAGAGGCAAAGGATGGGAATAACATTAAAGGGCAGAAGAGTAAGGGTTTCCCTTTCCCAAGGAATTAAAAGATGGATCACTTTAATTCACACGCTTCACTTACCATCTCTAGGATTGCCATCTGCTTCTTGACGGGTTACTGTGGTCTCTGTTCGGCCCTCACTGTCCACCACAGTCCGGCGCTCCTCTACTGTCTACAAGGAGAAGCCCCCACCATAATCCTTAACATCACCAAAGGTGAGTTCACTGGTTTCTTTACAAAGATCCCTCTGTCCAGAGCGTCCTCTGGCCACAGTTCCCTTTTACCCCTCTCCCGAACTCACCCCATCTGGCCTAGTGATCTTGGTCACAGAGACACTCTTGAAATAGGATTTGGGCTGGGGCTGCAGAACTGGGCCAAGACCCTCCTGGGAAACCTGGGAATCAAGATCTAGAAGGGCAGAGAGAGAATACAGGAAAGACTGAATCTAATGGAAAGGGAACAAGTGTGTCAGGAAGAAACTTTAGGGAGGGAGAACAGACAAAACTGAAGAACAACAGAGGGCTGGTAAATATCCTCTCCAGACTCACCCTTGTCCTCTTTGGCTCTAGGATGGGGGGTCACAGGCCACATATCATCAAACTGCAGAAGAAGCCAAAGTAGATGAAATGACACTTTTCAATCTGAAATTTGAGGACCCAAACTATTCCCAAGTTGTAAAACCACCTTTCCCCAGAAGAGATAATCCCATTCAAAATACGTTTATTTACTCATTATTCCTCCTTCCTAGCTGTTTTATGTACCCTTCTACTAAAAAAGCCCTCCTCCCTGCTGGCGTGGCTCAGTTGGTTAGAGCATCATCCTGTGCACTGAAGGGTTGCCAGTTTAATTCCCAGGCAGGGCATATACCAAGGTTGCAGGTTCCATCCCTGGTTGGTTTCTGGAGGCAGCCTATCAATGTTTCTCTCTCTCTCTCCCTCTCCCGTCTTCTCTCTCTAAAATCAATAAAAACATATCCTCGGGTGAGGAAATTAAAAAACTAAAATAAATAAATGAAAGTGGTAACCATGGTAAATTTTTAAAAAAGCCTTCATGAACTGATACTTTCCTGTCCTCCCCCAATAATCCTGCCTTGTCCAAGAATCATGTAGACCAGTGTTTCTTGTTATTTTTTGTTTTTAAAGAAAAAGCAGAACTCTCATCTCCCCCTAAAGAGAATCCTACAAGAATCTTAATATAGGAAACAGATAAATACACAAAGTGGAGGGCCCAGGATTTCACCCCGTCTGTTAGATTCCAACAAGGATTCTAGTCTCTGCACTCTCTTAGTTGTCTCATTTCAGGTTCAGATGTACTCACCCTATGAAAAGGTCTCTGGGAGCCCCAGTCTGGTGCTGTTTTTGGAGAGTCAGTTCTTGCATCACTCTCCAAGGTCCCCCCAAAGATCCTGGGTTGGCGACTATCTGGATATTTAAGCATTGAGTCCCGAAGCGTCTGTCCCTCCTGCAGTCTCTCACTAGGTGTCTCTGACTCAGGACCTGGAAGTTCTGCAGAAAGGTGGCAGGTGCTGGGGTGGGAAAGGGCTTGGGATCTTTTAACCCCCCTTGAAATCATCAGTCTTCTCACACTTCCCACCCCCCAACTACTTTCTGCAGGCTCCTTATTTCACCCATCAACCCAATAGAAACCATAGGTTCTCCCTCAGGGGCAGCCACACACCGGGAGGATGGGAAGGCAAGGTCCAGGCCCCCATCTCGCTGAAGATGTTATTAAAATCCCGTACTAGGTCATCAAAGCCGAAGTTATCGTGGAAACGCATCCCTCCTCCAGGGCTGAAGCTGAAGCCGAAGCCAAATTCCTCAGGGGGTTGGGGACCCTCAAACCTCGAGCTCCCAGGGCCCCAGGTGGCTTCTTCTTCTTCTTCTTCCTCATCATCCTCATCTTCATCTCGAGTCATCCCTCCAAAAAAGGGATCTCTGTGGCTGGGGTGGAGGCAGATTGGCCACCAAAATTTCAGCACTCACTACTTAAACCATAAAATCAACTCATGGGTGGCAAAGTGGAACAAGAATAGGTGTCTGGGAAGCTGAGGTGAGGGTTAGAAGACAGGCCATGGGGGTATTGTTTTTAATCAAAGTCAGTCCTCACCTCTTGGCTCCCCCCAAACACCTCCCCTCCGCTTTTCTTCCGTGTCCCCCCTCTCCCAAGGTCCTGCTCACTTGCTCACTGTCCTCTACCCCAGAGCCCCATTGTCTTCCCCACCCGGGCCCTGTTGCATCACCCCAGACTGGAGAAAGGCTTAAGCTGTTTTTCCTCCTCTTTTAACGACCGCCTAGGTTACTGTCGAGGAGTGATCAATGTTGACTTCTATCCTCTGCACAGGAGTTGAAGGAGTGGGGATAGAGGATGTTTTTCCAAAAACAGGGTGTCTGCGATCAAGCTCCCCTCAGAAGAACCCCCCCCCGTCCGACCCGGACCCATTCTCACCTCCGAGGTCCAGAAAAGCCAAAAAAGCCCCGAAAGAGGTCAAAGAGGCTCATTCCCGTATTGGGATTCGAACCTCCGAACCCCACCTGAGGCCCATTCACACCTGAAGAGTAGACTGCGCTACGCTATCGGAAATTGAGCGAAGAGTTAGCTCACGCTGCCGGAAAGCAAACCTGCGACCCAGACACCCTGTCGTAAAACGACCGTAAGCGGGACGAGGACGGGGGCGGGGCAGACGGTCCTCTCAAATCCGCACGGTTTTCACTTTACAGCACCAGTTCGTTTGTTTTTTCCGGTAGTTGTTGTTCTGAATTTTCATTTTCCAATGATTACCCGTCTCCTAAGCCGATTCTCCTTCTTGCTGGCCAACCCAGTCCAATAAGGTATTTCGAGGGTTTAATGATAAATGGCGCGGATTAAGCGGCCTGACGGCAGCTCATTTGCACAAATAAACCGGTCCCAGGCCCACCCTCACTGCCGGCTGGCCACGCCCATAGACGACCAGTCTTCCATCTGAAGTCGCCACCTCGCCCCTTCCTCGGCCCCGTTTATTTCTGGACTGACCTAAGTCTAAGTGGAATGGACAAAATTTTTATCAAGCTCCTTCTAGTACTGAACTCCCCAGACTTTAGTTGTTAGACATGGGGGCGCATGCACTTAACCTCATCTCTCCGGTTACTAAGGAGTTTGTCATAACCATAAAGGATTGTTTTAATTCTATGCAGGTTTTACCACCAGCAGAATAAAGGCTTTGTGAGAGACCAAGGGAAATCTAGTGAAGAGTCTTGGAAGAAATAATTTGGGGCTCTAAGTATCCCCCTTTCCCGATCATTCAGTGGCTTTCAAAGCCTCTCTTCCCCTCCACCCCTACCTCAATCCCATCCCTGGCCTTCCTCTAGACTCCTTTTCAAGGGGTTGGGTATAGCTATGGGAAATGAAAGCACCCAAGCATCAACTACTGTAGTCTACTCCTAGGTAAACTGGGCCCCAAACTTCAGTTTTGCCTGCACACAGTACATGTTGCCCTCCTTTCCAGTTCACTTGTATGGACCCAGCTGAATTATACTTAGCCATTTCTTTCAGCTACTTCTTAATCCTCTCCATTTCCACCCAATATCCACTATCCCACTCCCTTTACTGCCCAAAATGTGCCTTAGATGTAGCAGTTTGTGAAGGAAATGAAGATTTCTGGTGGTTCTTTGCAGGCAACAGGCTGTGAAATTCTTAGGGGAGAAGGGAAGGGAATCCCCTCAAGGGCACAATACTAAATCATTAAGGTCAGAGGTGTTCTTAAAGGGTGAAGATTTCATTTTATTCCACTGCCTTCGGGGCCTGCTAGAGGAGGCCCAGTTGGTACAGTAATACTTATTCACCAAGCTGGTCATCTGCGAGACTGAGGATGTCCTAGACGGAGCAAGAATGGGCAGAGGCTGAAGGTAGAGGTTTTCTTTTTATATATACAAGACACATTAATCCATTAAATTTGAGGACACAGTACAAAAAAAAACCAAAAAACAAAAAACACTTCAACTAATCCATCTGACAATGCTGTTCATATTCATGACGCCATTTTTTGTTGTTGTTTTGCTTCCTAATAATAAAGGAGGAGACATAGGGCTGTTGGGCTGATATATATTTGGGGGTCCCCCCACCCCACCTCACCCATACACCACCAGGGTGAACAGGAGGAGAAGGAAGGGCAGGGCCCACAGCAAAGTTTCATAATCTTGAATGCAAGGGGGAAGGAGGAAAGGAAAGGAAAAAAAAAAAAAAGAAAATACAAATCCTATAATACATACAACAGAGTGGGGATGGTATGGGAATGGACAGACATGAAGCTGAGTCATGGGGTGGGCCAATGGGGGTGGGGGGGCAGCGGAACTCCCCCACATTCCTCTCTCTCTTTGATGCTGTTTCCATAGTTGCCAGGCTGAGAAGCCCTCTCAGAAGATGGGACCAGGAAGGAGAGGGTCAGGGCCTCAGTTGGCCCCCCAGCTGTAGCTGTTGTAGGCAGACTTGTTGGTCTGGGGCTTCTGCGGGATGGAGCTGGTCTGGCTACGTTGCCCGCTGCCCGTCTGCAGGGGAATGGGAGGATGATGGAGAGGAAAAAGGTGTCTAGTTAGTGTGACAAATTTGTGACATCTTCAGGTGGAGATTTGGAAATCATCTTGCTCTCCCATTCCCCTTGCTTAGAAACTACTCTGAAGCTTCTTGACCACAGAAAATTTGGTTGATATAGCTGCTAGAGCACCTCTGACAAAAAAAAAAAACACCTTTAAATATGGGAAAGATGAAAAGAGGGCAAGATACCTTTAGAGATGAAATAGTGAATCAGTACTACTCATTTTCAATTCTACCTTCTCCCCCCACTGCCCCTTCTCTGAGAAAATGCAACTCTCTAGAGAATTATGGCCTCTTGGAGATGAGTGATCACACATGATTTCATTTTCACTGATCCCCAGGAAGGCCTCAATTTGGAAAGCTGTCTTTGAGAGCAAAGAACCCCTTATTCCAGCTCCCCAGCCACCTATGGTGGAGAGGTCATTTATATCACCCCATGGCTCCCCACCCCTACCAAATATATCACATCTGTGAGCCCATTACAAGCAAGGTAATGAGGCCCCAGGCTCCAGATGCTGCCCCAAGAATCCTTTCCATTCCAGTAAACAAGTGTTTCCAGAGTTGAGGAAGGGCAGAAAGAAAGAGGGCATTGAGGAGGGGAGGACAAGAGAGGAATGGGAGGCCAGAGAGCTCAGCAAGGTGTTTGTGTTTGTGTATCCCGATTTGTGATCGTGCAATCTTTTCTCAAGTTCCCTAAGACTGTGGAGGTGAAATGGGGACTGAAAAGGAGTGGGTTCAAGCATATCATTCAGTTTCATTACCTGCTCCTCCTGCTGGCGCTGGCAACAGAGAATCATCTGCAAATATGGTAGCTGAGGCAGAACCAGGATATATGGAAAATAAAGGGACAAACTTTGACAATAGAACTCCACCATTATTAGAAGGGAAAGCTATAATGTGAGGGAAGGGGGAGGGCTGGGAGAGGTGAGAGGGGAGGTGTGACCCAGGTCTGATGGGATGAGGACAACTGTGCTATGGGAGGAGGTGGAGGAGGAAGGCAGCAAAGGGATTGGGCAAAATTAGACCTCAATCTGGCCCCTTCTCTGACATCTCCTTTGCCGGCCACTTGTGTTATGTGCGCTTGTGTCTGTAATGTGCTGTGTGCCCATGGCTGGCGCTGGGGAGGATTGGGTGGAAGTGGTGGTGAGGAAGGGTAAGAAAAGGAAAGGGGAGGCAGTTTTAAGGGAAAGGAAGGAAGAGGAAGAGAAAGGAGAGAGGGAGGGCTATTACCTGGCCATCCTGCTGCAGGTGATGGTGGAGGATCTGGGAGTGCGGCTGCTGATGGGGGGTCAGAATGTGCATAAAGGGGGCAGGTGGGTAGGCAGCAGCTGTGGCTGGATTGATGGGCCCCCCACTTCCTAGGGCTGAAGGCAAGTTGAAGGAGGCAGCAGGAGTACCGGAATGAAAACCTTGTTTCTCAAAGGACTGCTATCCAGGAGGATGGGAGAGAGAGTAAAGGGGATCAGCAAATGAATCCTTGGGATTTGGGTCCAGGCTCTCCCACCCTCAAAAAGCAGCATGGTGTTAACAGAAAGAACACTGCACCTGAAGTCAGATATTCAGGTCTCAGTCTCAGCTCTGTGCTTTAATAACTGTGTGATCCTGAGAAAATTACTCCATAAGCCTCAGTTTTCTCAAACATAAAATAGGGATGGTACTGACCTCTCAGTTGTAAGGACCAAATGAGAGGATGGATGTGAAAGCACTTTGTAAAATGTCATACATGAGCATAGTGAAATCTGCTTACTACTCTTAGCACCCCCACCTCTGGAGTTGGGTAGAAATAGGAACTACTTGGATTTTTCCCAAAAGAAATGAGTAAAACTGAGGTATCTTGAGTGCTAAACGTCTTGGCCATGAAGTATTCCACCATAACACTTAATACTTTATATCAAACTTTTAATTATTTATGGTGGTGGGAGAAAAAAACAACAATGCAAATCTGTGGATAATTCAAATGCTTCACTTTAGTTATTTACGCTTTGCCCACTCCTTTCCCACTCTTTGTTATAGATATACTTACAAAGAATGGAATTAACTAGTTTTCCTTCATTCCACACTCATTCTCTTTGAAAGTTATGAAAATGGTGGGAGTGGGTAAGTAAAGGACCAGGACAGTTACACAATAAATCACGACACATTATAATTTTCCAATCTTCCTATGACATTTCTCATTTGTACCCCCGCTCCCTGAAGACTAAATTTAAGCTTCCTCAAGAAATGAAAGTCTAAAGATGAATCATTTTCTAGTAGAATGGTTTTCTTGACGCCTCTATTAGGACACCTGCTCACTTCTATCACTGCAACTCCACCTTCTCTATGTCCATCTCTTTCCACTGCTATCCAGAGCCAGGCACCTACCTGGGTTTTGGAGTACACAGAACCCGAGATATCTGGCACGCCCGTGTTACTGGAGGTGACTGACACACCTGAGAGAGGAGGAAACAGATAGGAGGATTAGCTCAACTAGCTGCCTGACCCCTCTTCCTGGGAGGAGGTAAGTGACATGTGCAGTCTTTCTAGCTATAGTACTGCAAGGGAATTTTGGTCTGTCTTTCCAGCTTCAGGTCAGTCCTGAGGGATAAGAGCTCATGACACAAAGGCTAGCTAAGGGTTCTCTTGTCCTTTCCAGGTGTGTACTGAGTATATGTATAAGAGTGAGGTGAGTTGTTTTTTGGGGGACAAGGGAATAGCCAATTCTCACTAGCATATAGTTTTCAAAACACCCCTGTGGCAAAGCCCAAAAGGAATGTATTAAACTTTTAATGTCCATTTCAAATCAATCCACCCAAACTTCACACAGTCCTGCTCCAGAAGACAGGTAATTCTCTGGCTCTTTCTGTTCAGGAAGAGACACTCTTGGGCTCAAAATCCATGCTTTCACATCATAAGGTAAGTACTAGAGGAGCAGTCCAATTCTGCCTTGAAGAGCACTTTTATTCTCAGAGCTTCAGCTCACTTAGTCCAGCTTCTCCAGTCTTGGAGCTTCTAGGCTGTATACTTACGAGCTGGCATAAAGATCAAGTTCCATTTACACATTTTAAGGAAGGGGGAGGGGATAAGGAAAGTATATAGAAATAGGCTATGTCCTACAGTCTAGGTGAAACACAAAACCAAAATGTTATTTTAGTTTACAACTTTAGCTTCTCCCTGAGATAAAGGCTTTAATCCATACTCTGACAACTTGCATGTTTCCTGTTGAAAAACTCTCTACAACCACTACAACTTAAAGGAAACCAAAGTAATACAATTCCTCATTTTAATTTGTACTCCTTCAACTGAAATACACATACTCTACCTTCTGGGGCAAAAGGTCAAGGAGATAGGACAACACCATCGGGTAAACTAATCTAGTATCTTACCTTACTAAAGAAATTTTATGCAAAGATTTGAGGTAAAGTAACTCAAATTTAAAACTTTTAAAAGATATATTAGTTCTCATGAAATGAGATAAAATGAAACTTCAGAAAAACTTGGCATTTTAGTCTATGTCCTTGGAGCCTTCTCCTGTTAGGAGCACTCTGACAGAAGAGTTTTTTAGAAGCGCTATACTGAAGTGACCAAATCAAATCACAAATGAGGAATCCTCCATTAACCCACAATTCAGCAGCAATCCCCCTTCAAACTCCAGAACCCAAATCCTCCCAATGCCTAGGACAAAGGCAGCCGTCAAAAGTTAAGCCCACCTTAGACAGCTACTTTAGAATCTTCCCAATAGAAGTGGCATCTTAACCTGGAAACCCCTCCCACATCACAAGTCCAGATAGTTCCAGGGAGGAGCAAACACCAACTAGGAAAAAGAACAGAACTACAGAAAGCAAGCATGAGAAAATACTTCCCCGTGTCCAAAGTATCAACTCTACTTTCAAGGCACTGAAGTAAAAGACGGGGACAATACATGAACTGACAGGGTATTTTTTCCCCCTTCCCTTTTCAAACCCCAGGTGCCCATCTGGCAAATCATCAGTAATAGGCCTAACTTTAAAAACAAGCTCATTTATGGAAAAGGCTAAGCTGATGAGGTTTGTATGGAAGGTTTGAGAGTAAAATGGAATAGACAGGATATAAATAGAACATTTTTTAGGGAAACGAAATGATGATTGATCTTTAGTGCAAAGCCTCAAACAGCTTGCTGACACCCCTTGGTCATCTCACACAAATGGGAGAAATGGCTAACTTGACACTCAAGCTGGGTGATAAGGAGCAATTTAGTTTCAGTGTGCCCCTACCTGGTGCCATTCTTACCAGAGGCTGGCCTAGCTAAAACCAGTTTATAGTCCAGAGGCCTTAACTTGAATAATGGCTAAAGGGACTGGAAATGCGGGGGGGGGGGAAACAATTCTCTTTGTAGTAGTCTTAACAGCCTCAGTGAAAGCATTAGAGGCACTAGAAAATAACGGATTGGTTTCCCCACCTACCCTTTACCAGTTATTAGAAAGCACCTCAGACTAGAGTTTTCTTGCTTTCCTTCCAAGAGTCAAAATCCCCCTCTATCCCTGATTCTCAAACATGATGGTCATACTAACACCATGTGGACGGTAGGGAGGAGGAAAAAGAACCAATCTCTCCCTTGGAAAGTTGGTCACACCCCCAGGGCATAATTACTCCAGAGGGCTAGGAACAAAGAAAGTAGAATACCTGGGTTTCCAATTAACCAAGAACGGTGTTCTCATTGTGCAAGTTAACTCTGTAAACAAAGGGCTGGTGGTGTACTAGTTGGATTGAGTAGGGATGAGAATTTCCACAGTCAAGGAGATGTCTAACCACACCTCTCCCACACATCCTTAGCTACACCCACAAGTGCAAAACACTAATAATCCACAATCCCTGAAGGGACGAAGAACAATGTTCCAGGCTAGCACAGTTTCTCAAGACTTTATCAAATCTCAACCAGCCACTTGGCCTTACGGAACCAAATGTGGGAATTAAGCCTTGAAGATACTTCCCCAACAACAGCTCTGAACACCATCTCTTCTACCTTTCACCATGACATGACACTTTTTTTCCTTCCCCCCCTGCTTATGTCAGGGGCAGGGGAAGATCTAAATGGAAAGTGAAGAGCTATAATAAGCATGGAGAATCAGGGATTTTCTACAAATAATATTCTTTACCAACCAATCAACAGGTTGGAAACTGAGACTGTTTCCCCTCCCCCACCTTCATAAAAATCACCATACAGAAAAGTTACCAGTTCTTTGGCTATGCTGGGATTTGATTGGAAAGGCCACCCTCCACCCTTCATCCACTGCACAACATTGGATCCTAGTGTCCAGAAAGACATGCACGGAAAGAACGCCAGAGTTAGCTAAAGAAATACCACAGTTTATTGAAGACTACAAATATTTTTGTTACAAGTTGAAACTACATGCCTTCCAGAAAACAAAAGCAACAGCAGGTGTGTGCATTGATGCTTCGGAGGTGCTGCACCGCTTGAACTCGAAATGGGTAAGACAGGGTCAGACACATGGGGGAGAGGGAAATGGGGGAAGGGCAAGTTCAAAAGCCCAGAAGGTATCCACCAACTCATTTCCCCAAGCCCCGCAGGCCATGGCCTCAGCTCAGCAGGCTCTCCTCAGTGGTCTGGTTTCTGAAACAAGACTTCAGTGCAAATTTATACACACACACAAAACATAGCCCCCAGCCTTGGGCCAAATTAGCTCTCTGCCGTCCAGAAATGCTTGTAAGGGGGTGGATATTTTCTTCCTAAAAGGAATCAAATACATAAAAATAAATGAATTTAGAGGTTGATGAGGAATAGGATGACAAGAACCTTCTGTGGGGTTGGGAACTGGGGGTTCTCAAAAGGGCTGTTACAGAAAGTTTCTGAAATCTTAAGGGAGATAAGAAGCTAAGATTTCCAGAATCAGGTATGCTTTCTCTTATTGTCAGTCACCTACCTCTTGAACTTCTTAAACTTGGTCCAGCTAAAACTTAAATCTAATACTCTTGGAACGGGGCCACTCCAAATCAAAAATCTTATAATCCTCCCCACGAGGGATTAGGGTGGATCTTGCTCAGTGAGAGGAATAGCCACAAGGAGTCTAGGTAATAAATCTCAATGGGTGCCTCAGAATTTCTTTAGTTATATCTTGACCTAAGTCATACAACACAATTCAAAGCTGTTAGTTCCCAGACCAACTGCCCTCTGTGCTCAGCTCAAAGTTTCCCAATTATTAAAAACCTTGGGCAATTTATCCACCTGGAGCCCACACAAGGGTGACAAACACAGATGCAGCTCCATCCAAATCATCATGAAACCATAATTGAGCAGAGATTTTTGAAGTACAACCCTCAACCCCATCCTCCTCCCGTACCCATATTCATCTACAAATCACTGAAAAAAGTAGATGGAACTGTTTTACTCCAAGGCTCCTTTTCTTACTCCCTGTCCTCCAAAAGAAGAGTGTAGGTGTCAGGTATAGGAGCAAGGGATGGGCTAAGAATCTTTTAGGTCAGTACCCATTCAGAAGGTTCCAACATTTCCCTCCCTGCCATCAGATATGCAAATAGATTTTGTAAACAGACCAGCCATACAAATGAAGGAACCTAAAGGTCCAACTCTCCCAGCCCAACTCTCACTTTATTGAGTACGGGCATACCTCGTTTTTACTGCACCTCACAGGTGTCACATTTTTCATAAAGTGAAGGCAGGACCCTTCACCATCAAAGATTACAACTCACTTTATTATGGTCTGGAAACAAATCCACAATATCTCTGAGGTATGCCTATACTCATGCCCTAATCCTTTCTCTCCACATCTTAGGTCTCCTAGCTAGGGAATAAAAAGGGGTCACATGAAAAAAGCAGTACTACAAAGAGATTTAAGCTAAACCTACTACAGCATGCTAGCAAAGAAATCATTTAACCCTCCTATTCAGTAAATATATTCCCTCTTGTACAATCAGTACCATACATATTAGCCCTTTCCTCCACTGACATCTCAGTAAAATCCTGGGGACCCTTGACCTGCTTCCCACCCAAATATTAGGACAGCTAGCATATGCTAATAGCCAATAAATGCCCCAGGGCATCCCTGTCATGAGTAGTGAATACATGGTCTAGTATCAAGCTCCTCTGTTGATGCTGCTCAGGCAGACACACAAGTAGTCAAACATTAACAATCATACATGGAGCAGCAGCACACCCTCACCAACGCTACTTTCTCAAGCAAAAGTCTTACTCCCTGAAACTCATTTAAGAACATTTCACAGACACCACTGACAGCTGGGGTTAAGGTAAGCTTACCAGTGTTGTATCCATGAGACCCATATCCACTTGGCTGTTGGAAAGGGGTGGCCGATGCATTCACACTGACATTCACACCATGCTGCTTGGAAGAGGTAGGAGCCACCTAAAGAGCAGAAAGGCCAGAACTGCAGTGAAATGGCATCAGAGTACCATTCAACCCCACCGGTCTTCCTCCAGGGACTGAGCATTCAGATGACTATCCATAGTGATGTAGGCTCACCACAGTTTGCTTAGTGAAATGGGCTTCCTACCTAGCTTTCTAAAATTAGTGAAGTCAAGAAATGGTAGTCTGAAAGGGAAAGGGGCAGTAGAATGAATGGCAGTCTGTGGGACCAAAGCTGTATGCTATCATATCCTTCCTTTAGCTAATTCTAAGAACAGGTAATCCCTATCCCAACACCCCCCCCCCAATTCCAGCCCCAACTCCCTCCC